TTTAAAACCTAGTTACATTCCTTGCACTAATATTATACACCATAAGGGTCATACATCCAAGATTTTTAGCCTTATGTTTCATCTTCTAAAATATATGTAGGCAAAAATCCATCTCAGAAAGGAATTAACTTCAAAGTCACATGACAAATGACTAATGAAGTCTTTAAATTAAATGCTATGCTAAGAAAAAATTGTCCTTATTTTAAAAAAAAAGTAAGCATAAAGGAAAGAAGAGTTCACACAATTCCTGTCTCCCCTCAAATCTAGGAGGGGCAAAAACAAAACAAAACAAAACCAAAAAAAAGGTAGAAGAGCTTAGCATTGGAAGAGGTTAGATAAGGAAAGGGGAAAGGAACTCCTGAATTAATTTCTCCAAGAACAGGACTCCAGCCACCGATTCCAAAGAAGCATTCTGGGCTACTCATCTACTTCTTTCTTACCTTCTTCTAGGGTACAAAGAAACCTCTAGATAAAAAATAAAGTTAAAAAAAAAACAAACCTATCGCCTTTACTCTTTGTGAATGACATCAACTTAATTAAAGTTACTTCACCAGTGTGACTCACTCTCCTCTCTCACTACAGCAGGTGTGTACAACATGCAGCCCACCAGAGGATTTCGTGGCGGCCTTTGAAAAATCCTTTGTTGGGCCCCAAGTGGCCCACAGACCACAGGTTGTGCAGGCCTACACTACAGGAAAAAATACACTGTATGACTAAACTCATGCACTCAAAACTATACTCTCTCCAAACAACTTGATTTTAGACCTAGAGACCCTACCCTGGGTGACAGTTGTAAAATTATCGCCATCACTGGGTGTCTTGTTTCCTATTGTACAGCCCAGGGGCTGAGTTAGTAAGACCTAAGTTCAAATCTGGCCTCAGACACTTGACTAGATATGTGACCCTGGGCAATTAATTCATTTAGCATTTACCTCAAAGGATTGTTGAGGATCAAACAAGGTATTTACATTTTTTTTTATAGGCAATTGGGGTTAAGTGACTTGCCCAGGGTCACACATCTAGTGTCAAGTGTTTGGCCTGAGGACAGATTTGAACTCAGGTCCTCCTACTTCAGGGTCAGTGCTCTACCCACTGCGCCACCTAGCTGCCCCCAAACAAGATATTTATAAAAAGGACTTGGCATGGTGCCTGGCAAACAGTAGGCATTCTATAAATGCTTTTTTCCTTCCCTTCCCCAATGAACAAATCTTGTAAAATGGGCAAAGAACACTTGCATAACCTCCAAGGTTGTGGTGAGGAAACAGTTTTGTAAACCTTAAGTACTACATGAGTTATTTTATTATTATTATGTCCTCATGTAACCTTCAAGAACCTTCTGGTTTCTGGGTGAATTTTTACAAGTTGTAGGAGAAATCCATTCTTGCTATACTATCTAGAATAAGCAATATGCAACATGATATAATAGAAAGAAAGCATAAAGACCAAGATTCAAGTCTGGTTTCAAACTTAGCAGCTAAGTGACTTAAGCAAGTTGCTTCACCTGTCTCAGTTTTATCAGCTATCAAATGGGAATAAAATATCTATCTCACCTATCTCAGGGGGTAGAGGTGGTATATTTGTGGAGGGCTTTGCACACCTTAAAATGACACATTATTAAGTTAAAAAAAAAGATGTTAAGTAAAAAAGTTATTAAAAATTAAGCTCATAAAGGGTTTATGTAAATCAATTACACTATATAGAGCAAAGTTCTAAAATTGACACTTTCTTTCATTAAATGAAGATTTATTAAGTGTTTACTAAGTGCCAGGTACCATATTTGCACTAGGATAACAAAAACAAATGGTTTCCGCCCTCGATGAACCCACATTCACTTGAGGGGAGGAGGCAGGGACAAAAAGCTAAGCAGTGTAAAAACATAATACAAAATAATTTTTGGGAAAGGTAAGGTGCTAGCAACTTGTAGGCTTTGTTGAATCTTGAAGGACGCTAGGGATTCCAAGTCAGTGTTGAGACTGCATTAAAAGCAAAAGGTTTCTACTGTGCCAAGGAAGAGATGGGTGATATAGTCTTATGTAAGGAGTTAGCAAGTACATCATTTTGGCTAGGATGGAGAGTGCATATGGAAGTGTAATGTACAATAAGCCTGGAAAGCAAGGCTGGAGGCAGTTTCTACTTAATCCTCGAGGCACACAGGATCACAGTAGAAATAGTTTTGTGATTCACAAATTAAGGTAGTTTGGTCACTTAAGATGGAAGTAAAACAAACAGATATAAAGACAGCTAGATGATTTAATTACGTTCCCAGTTGAAGCATATTTGGTTGCAGACTGTAACCAGTCTTTTTAAACTTCATTATAATATGTACTCACAAAGATATAGTTTTTTATCTTATTCAGGTAACACCTATAGTGCGGCATTTACTAACCCTCTCACTCCAGATTCAAAGACATCTAATGAACTGGCTAAGAGTGCCACCTACTGAATTGTAAAGATTACTGTTTATAGCACTTTCATTTTTCCTTTGAGATTTCCTCTATAAATATTTATCACAACCATTCTAAATCAGGTTGGGAGGTTTGACATCAGGATAGCCTGAGGTACAGGACAGTAGTTTCAATTAACTCAGCTGAACCAATTCCCTGATATCAATAATTTGGGTCCCAACTCCAAACTAAACATTCTACTAAAACTAATTTCTGTGAGCTGAAACATTGTCTTCATTAGTTCCCCAGTTTCAAGTTCGTTTTTGTTTTCATTATTGCCATTATTTATGTCCTTTGTACATTGAGTTTAATTGTTTAATCTCTGGTACTATGGGCAAGGGTTTTAGGTGTGGTTGAGTGGTTCCCTTTGATTCTTTATAAATATCAGTTATATGTCATTCAATAGGCATTTACCATTCCAACATTGCCAGGAACTGTTTCTCGCTGAAGAAATACAAAGAAAGGCACTATTCCTGACTTCAAGGAGTTCATATTCTAATGGGTGAAACAATAGTTAAATAATCATATATATTCAACACATATACAGACTTGATGGATGGTAATCTCAGAGCAGAAGAATGGGAGATAAAAGAAAGCCAGGCAAGCTAAGAGGTAGAGGTGAGGAGAGACAGCTTTCCAGGAGGGCATGGGGGACAGCCAATGGAAAGGCATGTGAATGGGACATGGAGGGTCACGTGCAAGAGTAGGCCAGAGTAGCTAAATCACAGAATGCATGGAAGTGAGTTATTTTCGCATGCTCAGTTCAGCACTTAAGAAAATCACTTTGGCAGCTGAGTAAAACATGGATCTGATAGAAAAAAGACTCGAGGCAAGGAAACCAATTAGAGGCCTGTTGTAATAGTTGAAGTGAGAGGTTATAAATGCTTAAATTGGCATGGTGACTTTGTTAGTGGAGAGAAGGAACATATATAAGAGATCTTGTGAAGATCAAAATGACAAGATTCAATTATAGATTTGTCATATCAGAAGTTAAGTGAGAGCTAATGATGACCTGCAGGTAACTCAGGTTGCAAACTAGGGTCACTAGTATGACAACAGTGCCTTAATAGTAAAAGAAGATCCAGAAGAGTTTGGAGGATTCTCCTTTACTTTAAATTTAGAAGTGTTCATTTGCTGCTATTATGTGAAAGACTCTAAAACATTCCATCTTTGAATGAATAGGAAATAAAGGCACTTGGCTTTATTTTTTCAAGAAGGAAGGCATATCTGTATCAAAGAAATAAATCTGATTCCGAGAATCTCCAAGTCCAAACTGGATTTAAGAAACTTGGTCTTTTTTTTTTTTTTACTATTGTTAAACATAATTAAAATTTGTAGGTAATTTTATACATACTAAATAAAATTGGCATGCCTTGACATGACATTTTTAAAATTTAGTATAATTTCAATACTTTGACCCCATCCAAGGGGACCGTATCTCCTAAAGTAGAAGGACCTTGTTATAATATAATTTACCTTATAATGTATCACATGGTTTAGACTCTGAAGACAGTATTGTGGTGAACATTAAAGAAACTGTTGAGTATTTTTCTAACAAAAGTAAGATCAGAAAAGGAAGAGGCAGTTATTGAATACTTTCAATTTCTATGAACAAAAACTTGTTCAAACAAGTTCAACTACCTAGTGACAAATACCAACTTCACTCTGAAATATCTATTTCTATTACAGCATAGCCCAAATAACTGATGCTAAATTTCCATTATGTAATCCTATGGTTTTTAATCAGCTGTCACACAATACAATTGTTTAATACATACTGGTATTAAATCAGTTGGCTGCCCAATATCTGGACTTTGAGTATGAGATAGACTTATCTAACTAGTTTATACACAATTACTAAAAATTATTTTATGGAGGGCTATTAGGTAAAATCTGTCTGTGGGACTGCTGGCAACACCAGAATTTGCCCATTTTGGACGTCTCTACATAGCACTTTTTCCTAGAGAAGAAAATTATCTCTATTGGCTGCTCACTGGCAAGCCTTCAGGCAAATAAAAATTTGGTGATCACAAGGAAGATAAAAGGTATTTTATGCAAATTCACATTCTGAGCTGTGATCAATATTATACTTACTTTCTAGAAGTTATATATAAATGAAAATGAGGTTTAAAAACAAATCTGGATTTCTACTTTGCCAAAGACAAGCATAGAAGAGACAACAACTGACTGTAGTAACCATTGGTCTGACAACCACTGGGCTACTTAAAACAAACACCCACCACTTCTAGTTTTAATGTTATAATTGTCTTTATCAACAACAGAAAATATTTTCTATTTTTTCCATTATTTCTGAGAAATAATCATCTTCAAAATAAAGAAGTCAGAGTACCTGCTTTAAACAATATTTTACTTATAAGTTCATGAGAAGTAAAGCATGCTTCATGGTAGAAATGAAACACACAAATAATAAAATTAAAATTATTCATGGATTTTAAATAATCTATTTCTTTTCTTGTCAAAAATTCCTGATCTAATAAAGAACACTTTTCCAAAAAAAATAAAAAATTCTTAGTTAGAAAGGAACATACCGGTTAATTTAATTTTACATTCACTTTATTGCTATAGAAATTTTAGTTATAAAACCATCAGATTACAGATACAGTGATGATAAGGATAGCCACAAAAGAGATCAACTGTATGTTATGCAGTTGCTTTTCCAACCTAGTGGATAATTGTTCCATAAATAGTTGATTAAAGTGAGCTCAATCAAATAAAATAAGAGCAATCAAATAGAATTATTCTAGTCCATTTGAAAAACATTGCCTTTGTGCCTACAGGCTGAGCAAAAAGATCATGGACAACTGATGGTTACTGACAAGTTACTAATGAATGTATTTTGATAAAGTCTAAATTACATGCACACATAAAAAAAACTAGTTACAAAGAACTAATATACCTTACTTTGAACCACTGAAGTTTTGCAATACTTTAAATATTTTCCAATCATGCAAGAGTAATAAAAATCAGAATGAGCTTTATAAAGGAATTCAGTGAGGCTCAATGAACAGGATTTAACAATTCATACAAATAAAGTCACAGTTATACACTGTATCCAACTCTCCAAAATTTATCTATTACAGAGAAAGGATACATACTGTATTCTTTTCATCAGTTACCTTATATATAAACTTTCTCATGTAACTTTTTAATCAGGTTTGCTGGATGAACATAAAATCTATATGGCATAAACTTCATTATTATCAGAATAAGTCACCAAGTATAATCACTTGAGCTTACAATTAATCTTCAGCTAAAGGCATTTATTTCATGTGGTGTCTCAACAGCTGCAATCTTTTATGTAAATTCAAGCCTAAGAAACCAAGAAAATTGGCAGTTTAGAATCTAAATTATGAGATCTTAGAAAGAGAATACCTGAAGTGTCACCACACGTATTAAGAAGGGGGAACAAGATTTTCTGTTTCAGTTTAGAATCCTAACGTATTCAAATTCTTTGACAAATTCTAGTCAAAGGATCGAGTGAATGGAAGATTGCACCTTACAATACATACCTATTGACCTTTGTCCAAAATGGTTATGCAACTGAAATGATTTTACAACCACACATCTAACAAAGGTATTGGTTGAACTTTTTGTAGTCAAAATTATCCAAGTTACTAACAAGACAAAGAAGGACTAGCCATTAAAGTATGACAAAATCCTCTTCATAATCGTGGGCTAAAGAAATCTATTCCATAAAACAGCATAGAATCAATTTGCTTGTTTAGATGAAGTTTTAAAATATATGCAGTTCCACTACTTCTGTTGAAAATTATTTTGTTGAAATTATCAAATGGAAGAAAGAATACTGTCAACACATCCACAAATATTAAGTGTGGGACTAAAATCAGGAGCTTGCACCACATGCAAAGGGCAGCTAACATGAGCTGGCATGAAAGAAATTTAGCAACTTTGTGTGTGAGGAGGGGTAAGAAATTTATATAATTGGTGGTGTTAGGCATGGTTTCATTGTTTTAAACTATTTTGTCTTTAGCTTAATAGACTTTTGCTTATAAGATGCAAACCTACTTACACCATGAGCACAATAATGTTTTTCTCAGAAACCAAAAAGACTTGATTTAATACACTATAGAATTAAACATTTTTACAGAAAGAAATTACACAACCTGGACCAAAATCAGTGTAATACCTGGCATTTACAATCACTTGCAGAAGTACCAACTGCTTACAATGTTCATGTTACATATAATTTAACTTATGTTAAACTATGCAACTGTTGGTGCCAATCTGCTTATAAAAGCAATGCTCTGGAGACACAGTCTTCTCACAAACAACGGACATGCAGGTTTCATTATTAGGTGTTCAACAACAATCCTCAGTTCATTAAATAAGGTCCTGAAAAATAAAATTATTTTCTTTCAGAAATATAAACACAAAGCAACATTATTCTAGCAAGTATAAAAACAAACAGTAAATTTTCGATTGTTAAAATTCCCCTCACAAGTAAAATTACTTAAAAAATGCATTCTAGGGACAACACAGTAAAAAAATCTACACTACTAAAATCCTCAAAATCTAAGCTTCATATATCTTAATTGCCTAGGAAAGGTTGGATTAAAAGCATCTCATGTTCCTGAATACAAGGGTGGTGAGGAAGAAAGCAAAGCAAAAGATCCACTGGGTTTTCTATTCAAATTGTATAATTTCTATGAATTTTTAGTCTTAAGAAATGCTAGAGACTATCATTTCAGGAGTTCCTAATGAATGAAGTAAAAACTTCTTTTAAAGATTTACTTTATTGCTTTCCCCTCATAAAAATAAAAGGCATCTTCTATCTAGTCCAACACATTTCTGCAGTGAACACTAAAACAGCGGCACAATAGTGACCAGAGTATAAGGAGTTTGCAAGATCTAGAATGCCTCTGACACTTTACTAGCTGGGAAATCAGAGACTCAATTTTATATATGCAAAATGGGTATAATAATACCTATAAGCACCCCTCACAGGATTATCTCAAATGAGATAATGTATGCAGAGTGCTTTGTAACAAGTCAGTAGCAGAGCCAATTAACTGCAGCCTATCTCATCTGCTTAATTCCAAATTTTGCAACCTATTCAAATTTTAAAGTCTATTTTGAAAACTACTTTCATGTGTCATTGGTCAGTACCCATCTTCTATTCATGTATTAGATATCTGAAGAGTCACCTTTGACTCCTCCCTTTGGGGGAGGGGCTGTCTATACCAGGGCTGCTTCTGGGCCCATTATATATTACAGCAAGGATGTGTGCTACAGTGGGCATGTAAGCTGCGGGGAGAGAAAATAAAGTAGTAAGAATGCTGGAAAAATGCAAGAGCTGTGTGGATTTGGCAAAAAATAAGAGGAGACAGAGTATGAGACAGCAAATAGAAGCCACTGTGGCTGACACTGACCTAAGTGACACACCAATGAGAGACTTTCTCTAAGAGGCTGGGGCCGGCAGAGGCACAAGGTCCAGTGGAAACTGTCAGGCTTCCTTTGGGACAATGCTGTGAGCAACCAGGACTATGCCTGATCTTGAGGAAAGGGGAAGGGTTCTCTTGGTTCTCCATGTACCCATACAAGTCAGTCAGCCAACCAACATTTATTAAGCATAGGTGCTAAGCACCATGCTAAGGCAGTCCCTGCTCTCAAGAAACTCAGTCTAATAAGAGGAGACAAGCAAACCACTATGTACAAACAAGATCTAGACAGACTAAATTGGAGATAATAAACATATGGAAGGCATTAGAAGGACTGTGAAAGACTTCTTTCAGAAGGTGAGATTTTTGCTGATTTTGAAGGAAGCTGGAGAACAAAGGAAGCAAGGAAGAAAAGAGAGAGAGCTCCAAGCATGGGAGACAACCAGAGTTGAATAAAACAATGTTTTGTTCAAGGAACAGCATGGAGGCCAGTGTCACTAGATGGAAGGTATGTGTCAGGTAGTAAGGAATAAGAAGATTGGAAAGATAGAGAGAGATACAGGTTATGAAGGGTTTTGAATGCCAGACATTTTATATTTGATTCTGGAGGTGATAGGAACTCACTGGAGTTTACTGGTGGGGAGGACGACATAGTCAAGACCTTCACTTTAGGAAAATCACTTGGGTAGCTGACTGGAGGATAACTGGAGAGGGGATAGACTTGAGGCAGGCAAACCCACTAACAACAATCTACGTGTGAGGTGATGAGGGTTTTTTACTAGGGTGGAAACAATGTCAGAGGACAGAATGGATCACATATGAGAAATGTAAAGGTAAAATCAAAGGACTTGACAATAGATTGGATGGGGAGAGAAGAGGGTAGAAAAACAATGAATCCTAGGTGACCAGGAAGACAGTGATACCCTTGATAGCAATAGGAAAGTTCAGAAGAAGGGAGAGTTTGGAGTGAAAGATAGAAATTCAATTTTGGACATGTTGAGGTTGAGTTTAAGATACCTAAGAACATCCAGTTTGAGATGTCTATAATGCTGTTAGAGATGAGTCTGGATTTCAGGACAGAGGTTAGGGTTGGATAAAAAGATTTGGGAATCATTAGCTTAAAGAGGATAATTGAATCCATGGGAGCTGATGAGATCACCAAGTAAAACAGTATAGAGGGGACAAAGAAAAGGGCCCCAGGACAGAGCTCTGGGGAACACTCACCATTTATGCATGTGAAGATTCAGCAAAGACAACTAAGGAAAGGTTGGGATAGGAGGAGACCACAAATAAAGTATTTTCATGGAAACGTACAGAGTAAAGACAATGTAAAAAGACAAAGATTAAGAAAGCAGGATCCTCCAGACCACCATTGCTGCTTCTATCCCAGCCCTCACAGCCATCATCAGATTGAGTAACTTCTGTGAAAGCCAAGCCCCCCCACCAAATGCCAACTAACTACCACTCACAGGACAGGCAAGGCAGCTTAGCTGAAGCAGCAGGTACCCTGAGTATTGTCTCCCCATTAGAAAGAAGCAGGGACTGCCTTACTTTTCTATTTGTATACCCAGCTTAGTACAGTACCTGGCACAGAGTACAGATTAATGAATGCTTACTGATTGACATCATTCATTCATTCAGAGAAAGCCACTGGATTTGGCAATTAAGAAATCATTGGTAGAACTGGGGAGAGCAGTTTTGGTTAAATGATGAGGTTGGAAGTCAGACTACAAAGGGTTAAGGTCCCTTTCTATGTTTTTTTATTGTGCAAACAAAACCTGTTCTATAATTGAAAAAAAAAATTGAGTGCTTTTTCAAACTTCATAATGCTATAAAAATGTCATTTATTACAACTGCAGTATAAGCTAGTTGGAAATAGCAGTGGGTATGGATTCAGGAAACCTAGGTCTTGATATTAACTCTACTACCAAATAGGTAACCCAGGCTAAGTCACAAAGATCTTCTATACATTTGTTCATCCATCAAATTATTGATACTTTCTCTAACTTACCTTGGAAGAACACTGTGAGGTAGGTGCTACTGATAAGGTATCAAAACTATTACAGTTCACAAAACAGCAAATTTTTCCTACCTATCTATAGACATCTAAGCTTATTTTCAGTAAGCTGGCTTTTTCCACTACTTTAAGTTTTCATAGAAATTTGTTTCCACATAAACTTTAAGTATGTTAATTAGTAGACATTAGCTAATACTCCGTTGGCCTTCTCAGTCTTCTTCATTTCATTCTATGACCACAAATTTTTCTGATCTGTCTAAATGACTAAAGGGTAAGTATGTGGAGAGAAATGGCCTACTGAAGTAAACAAGATATTGGAGAAAGCGAACCTTTGGAAAAAATTTAATTGCCTACAATAATGAAGGGGAGTACAAAGAAAGAAGGGCCTGTACACACTCACAAAACCCAGTAACAACAGCGCTCAACTGCTACATAAGGCTCAGATTAGGAGCTTTGCAAAGACTACCTCTAGCTGAGGGAGCCCTAAATTAGGAAAATGGAGGAGGGGACATATACTGACATAACAAGATAGAGAGGACAGAAACTCTTTGGGGGAAGAGCCAACACAACAGAAAAAGCCCAACAGGTTGCAACACAAAATTCTTCTTTACGTTGTACAGGAAATACTGTCAATTTAATGATGTGGATTTCAGGATAATGAATGAACTTGGACACAGTATAAAGTATAAAAAGAGTTGATGACAATTTTTACAAACGTAGAGGTTTTCGGTTAAAATGTATAAAAACTAATCACATAAAATTAAGAGGAAATAATACTTAAGAAAATGACAGACCAACACCAGTAGCTGAGTAACAAATTTAAGATGAAGCTATGCCATCTTTCACATGTTTCAGTTTTACTACAACTCTGGTTACAACTTCAGATTAGCCATATATCTGTTAGCTCAAGTCCTGATCACCTTATACTAGGTGGAGAGCTGCGTCCTACGCTATTTCCCTGCCTCCTTCAATGTGCCCTGTCCACTACCAAAACAATGATCTTGAAATGCTCTGATTATGTCAACCTGTATGATGGTGGAAGGTAGAGCCATTATAAGAGAAAGGATGGGAATAAGCAAATATATAGCAACCACTATTTGCCAGGCACTGTGTTAAGAGCTTTATAAATATTACTTCATTTGATCCTCAAAACAACCCTGTGAGGGGGGTGCTATTAGTATCCCTATTTTAAAGCTGAGGAACCTGAGACAAAGAGTAAGGGACTTGTCCAGGGTCATATAGCTAATAACTGTCTGAGGCTAGATTTGAACTCAGGTCTTCCTGACTCCAGCCCTGGCACTCTATCTAGGTGCCACCTTATAAAAGCCAGGTGTATGATTAAGGAAGTTATGCTGTGAATTGGGATCACATGTGTGTTGCAACTACAAGCACATGCTTCCTGTAAAGAGAGAAAATATCCATACACCACTGTGCAAAATACACTAAAATGCTTTTTACCTACCTATCATGTTTATGAGCTTGGTAAAGTTCTATGTGCATTGGAGTTAAATAACCCAGGCAAGACTTATCTAAGTGCAAACTGTAAGTGATAAGTATGCAAGTGACTACTAAGCTAATCACAGACCTGGTGGAATACTTCTTCACCCTTTTAATCAACCATGATGTTCAAAGACCTCAAAATATGGATCAGGAGCAGAGAAGAAAAGATACCCCTTCATCTTCAAATTGAACAAGGGGATAGAAGAAGAGAGTTGGAGACAGCCAGAGTGCAGTCTCTATCCACTAACATTCCCTGCTTTCCATTAGTGGGTGGCCACACACAACAGAGACATTCCCTCTGGGGAGACCAAACAAACTCTTGGGGAGATACAGGCTACAAAGATAGCCTGTAACCTGTTGTAAAATGGGTATCCTTGCAGATATTGCTACATAAATGAAATCAATAGCACATAAATATGGGCAAGTGTGTTATTTCCACACTACAAAGAGGACTTCATACAGGGAGTGGGGTGGGGGGTAAGGGGGTGTGTACTACTCAGATCATACAATTTGGCAGAGCTGGGCTTAGTACTTATTCACTATGCACATAGTATTAACTAGGTTCTTGCAACCCCAAAACCACATCCCTCCCCAGATTCCTTAAATAGATCCTAAATACCTACAGGGTAAAACTCGAACTTCTTAGCTTGACATTCAGGATTCTCACAAGGTCTGAGCCCAACTTACCCTTCTAGGTTTCTTTCCAATTTCTTACCTTCCTGAACCCTCTGCTCCAAACAGAAGGTCTCTCTGCTATCCCCCTAAACAAATCTTGTCTCCTCCTTCCATACTATTTCCCTTCCACTCCCCATTTAAATATTTTCTTTTCTCCCCCCCATCTAAATTCTGCATATTGTGAGGCCCAGTCAATTTGCTCTTCCTTTCTGAAGGCCTCCCATAGCTCCGGAGCCCACAGTAATCTCTATAGGTCCTTTAGCAACCACTGCCTGTACTATTCACTGGCAATTCATCACACATGGACCTGAAACATAACTTATACGGTACCAAGCAGTTATTTCTCTACAATGTGGTTAGCTGACTTTTCACGTGTATGCCTCATTTGTAAAACTATATTGTAAGCCTCGTGAGGCTGGGAACTGTCTCATCATCCTTGTGCCATAGTGCAGGTTCTTTCATGTAGTAGATAAACAAATTTATGTTTGTTCCTTTGACTTCAGACTAGAATAAATGCGACACTTCAGTCCTCCACAAGATCCCTAAATTTGCCACAGTGTATGTGGGTGCTCCATTCACTAACAGCTTAGCAGAGTCTTTGTCAGTTCCTATGGCCAAAAATATTCACCCTATGATAACCTACTGGCTAGTGATAAGCCTCTCTAAACCCAGTGGGCCAACCAACAGCAGGCACATGATTCACTGCTAGACTTCTATGCAAAGCTTTTCAAGTTTGGAAGAACCAGTCAGAGCCTGTGCTCATTCCTGGGACAAAGCCTTCAAGAATCCAGGACCAGGGTCCTATACAACCGGACATTTATGGCACTTTGTAAAAATATTACGTAGCCAATAATGCAAGTCACACTTGCACAACAAAAATACATTAAAATTTTCTGAAATTTAAGAGTAAATTTCAACTATTTCTAAATTTTAATATGGCAACTATGCATTAGATCATAGAGAATTTATAAAGCTAATGATTATGATATCTTTCTTCCTTAAAGGTAGATGTAAGTCTTTTGTAAGATGTAAACTTACCGACAATATGGATTTCTCCGGGAGGAGTATCGCAGAGTAAGAAATCTGTAGTATATGAAAGGCTGGAGTAAGCTTCCTTGACCACTACAATAAAATAACAAAAAACAAATGTAATGAATGACTAAATTCACTCTATTTCATCATTAAACATTTCACTGTATCCTCATACTTTATTTAACACATTCTGGTTGGAGAGTTGGTACAAGAGAGCAAAATATGTGCCTTTTTTTTTTTTAAAAAGGCAATTGGGGTTAAGTGACTTGCCCAGGGTCACACAGCTAGTAAGTGTCAAGTGTTTGATCTGAGACCAGATTTGAACTCAGGTCCTCCTGACTGCAGGGCTGTTGCTCTATCCGCTGCACCACCTCGCTGCCCCCCTCTTCCCTTTTTAAACCAGATTCATGATTTCATCATTGCTGGGAGTTCCTAGTGAGAAGCTTCCTTTACCAAAGTAGGTCGGCTCTTTCTCTTCAACTTAACTTCTCAGAGAGTTGCCTAGGACACTGAGAAGTAAAGTGATTGTTCAAAGTCACAGTCAGGATGTGTCCAAGGAAGGACTTGAACTTTGTTTCTGGACTGAAGACCAACTTTCTATCAACTAATGCCATCCTGCCTCCCCACACATATCTTTTTTTAAATTACATTTTTTATTTCATTAAATATTTCCCAATTATATATAAAAATTTTTTAATATTTAAAAAATTTCTGATTTCTAAATTCTCCCCCTTTCCCCATTCCTTCTCTCTACCTTTTAAGAAGGCAAGCAATATAATAAATTATACATGTAAAGTCACTTAAACATTTGCATATTAGCCTTTATACATGTCTTTAACAAAACCATGCATACCTATCAAAAAAGAACTATGTTCAGATACATGCATACAAAAAAAATCATAATGCAGTAAAGCATTAAGAATTTAAATGCACAAAAAAAGGACATGTACATATAGTTTCATAGCAACCAGAAGCTTCTGCAAATTAATTTATCTGTTTTAAAACTGTGGTTTTAGATGTGTGATGATTAAAACAAATGTTTACATTTATTTTCAAACACTGAATTTTGAGTGTTACTTGCTATCAAATGTAGAATCATACGACCACAAATTTAGAGTTGGAAGGGAACTTACAGTTCATATATTGAAACTAAGGCCCCAATATTTTGAATCATTTGGTCATTTGGTCATTGCTAGGTCAGGCTCTTAGTCCTCTGACTACAAGAAGCTCTTTTTACTATGCCACACTGCATCTGGAAAGATTATTTTAACACTAGCTACAAATTTTGCTAATATTGTAGAGGGAAATCAGAACTACGAATGAGGTCATACAATGTTAAATATAGAGATTAATTAATTAAATAATATTTTAAAATAATGATTAATATTTCCTATTGGTAACTGCTTAAAATCTCATTTGCTTACTATAAGCTACATAACAAATGAATTTTTACCTATAAAAATCACTAGCTTTTTAACCATCTTAATATTAGTTTAACTATTGGTACGCTAAATGTGAGATTTTTGTACAGCAACCAACAAGCTGACATACTATTTCAGGACCTGAACTATATCAATTTTGACAATATAAATGAAAGACAAAAAGAAGGTGCAGAAAATGGGAGGACAGTTCACACTTCTTTGCCTTGGAGGGGCCAATTAAGGAGTTGGTGGAATTGGTTTTATCATGCATCCAAAACAGTCATAAACATCATTTCATGAGATATTTGGTCATCTCATGTTAAAGGATTTATAAAGAACATCAGCAAAAATGTCACTGCAAAAATAACTAGAACTTGTGCACACATCAACTTCTGTTGCAGAGGATGATGAGCTGGGAAAATTTTGCAAAGAACTCATTAAGATACAAATCATGCAAATCAACATATACTATAATACCTGGTAACTTCCAGGCAAAAGCGTAGGGGAGGATGATGAAAAATAATGGAAAATGACTCTGGATCAAGAACTGAAGGAAGTCAAAGTCCTACAGCTCACATAGAAGTTTATGCCTCTATACTATAAATACTTTGTGGAGATGCTGGACATGGCAATCACTAAATTACATCACATACACAAAAAATGGAAATTGTCTATGCAGGAAATAATTGGGCTCTCTTGTGGGTATCCTCTCCTAACCAGCTGGTCCATAAACAGTCAAACAATCAACTTCCTAAATTAAAATCAAAATCAACAACAAAGTAAATGAATAAAATTGAGAAAATAATTCTATGCAAACAAAACAGTTCCAAACTGACCTTTTTAAACAACCTTAATGCAAAAGAATGGGCAACGGAGCCTAGAAAATGTAAATAAAATGATCACTCAAAGAAAGGAAAACTCTAATGGTAAAACTAATGAAGATCCCAAAGATGAAATAAAGAAACATATCTTCCTTATAGGGGACTACCTGGATAGATTAGTATATCCACTGTCAAACACTTTCTCTGTATAAGATGTTTTTGCTTGATTCTTTTGGTCACAAGGGAATGAATATGGAGGGGAGGTGAAGCGAGAGGTAATAGTGGGAAATAACTGTGATGCAAAGACAAAGCAAGGCATAAATAAAACTTATTTTTAAAAAGAAAGAAAAATGGGAAATTGAAAAATATATATTGACAGACACAAGCAGGATTTCCTATGAAACTTTAACCAATGTAAAGCAATAGCCACAATAAGAAGGCCAAAAGAATCAATGAAACTTCTCTGCAAATACTTCATTTCCTTGCCAGAAATATGGACACCAAAGGCAACATTGGTTTAGAATATAAACTCATTTGTAAAATCTTGGGTTTTCTGTTTTTTGCTTTTTTTTTGTCAGGCAATGGGGTTAAGTGACCTGCCCAGGATCACACAGCTAGTGAGTGGTATGTGTCTGAGGCCGGATTTGAACTCAGGTCTTCCTGACTCCAGGGCCAGTGCTCTATCCACTGTGCCACCTAGTTGTCCCATCATTTGTAAAATCTTAAACAGGAAAATTGTAAACGATTAAATATGCATACTGTTACCTCATAAAATAGTACAAAGCAAAATGAATTTGTAGAAAGCTTCAGATGAGAACCAATTAAGTCAGATGATCCTAAAAGCATTTAAGAAGGAAAGTGAAGACAACTGTTCTGGGCTGGGTCTGACTCAAGCCAGAGTTTTGATAATTTACTCGAACAAAATGGACACTCAACCCTTAAGAAAAGTAGATTTACTTATCCATAGCAGACTATTCAACAAGGACTAGTACTGAGGATATCTTGAGTTGATTCAGCTCAAGTTACCCATTATGACCTATCAGCCAAGCACCAGAATATTTCTGCACTATTCTTGCTGTTTTGTACTCAGATGATGAGGGAGTAACACCAACAGTCTGAATCTTTAGTCTTCTAAGTAACCAAGTCTTTTTTTTTTTTAAAGGCAAGTGGGGTTAAGTGACTTATCCACTGCACCACCTAGCTGCCCCCTAAGCAACCAAGTCTTAAGGAAGGTCTCAACACCTTTTAAAGAAAAACTAGCCCAACTTGTATAGGGGGAGAGATTTTTGTGCTTTTATCACAATAAACAGATGAAAATGGAAAAGACTTTTTAAGTTTTCTATAACAAACTATGTCCTTTGTCAATGACAGTAGGGCCACCACATTTGGATGCTAATAACCTAATTCATAATATGTCACACGAGAAAATAGAAATAGCCTTTAAAAAAAAAAATTTGGGAAAACCAGCTGGACCAGAGCAAGTCTCTTAAATTGACTAATTTTGAAAGCACTGAGGAACTAATTCTCAAAATATCTTAAAAAGGAGAATCTACATAACAGATATTATGACTAAAAAAAAGATCAAGAAGATATCAAGATAGCTAACTCACATATGCCTACAAAATCTTAATGACAAATAATTTGTCATATATTCTAGAAGAAAAATGAGACAGGACAAGCTTTCACAAACAATATTCTACAGTAGATTACACCTTTACAGTGGTACAATTTTTATACTAAAAAGTACAGAGAATAGAAGATTCCATTGTGCTTATCATATGGTAATTGGAAAAAAAAAGTATTCAATTTGGCATGGCCAAACACCACCTTAACAAATCTCATTCAAAAGGTGTCTCCCATGCTTATGTTAAAATAATACAAAATTCCTTGAAAGACATAATAACTGGGATAATTTCGTTTGATGACCTACTAATTGTTGCAATTTAGTAGGACATAAATAGGGAGATGTCTGTCTGGCAAGGGATATTTTCCACTGTCATGGAAAACATCCAGCACAGTCAAAATATGATCTATAGGCATTCAAAAGAGCTCAGCCTAACTAAACAGGAAAAACCAAACAGATGAAAAATGCCAGTGGTGCATGTCCCTAAAGCTTATAAATCAGTATGTATTTCTTGGACAGTCTGCCAAAGGACAATGAACTTGGCCTAGAATTGAGCAGAAGGAAGAGTGGAACAGATTCCATTCAGATTATTGCTCAGTGGTTTTAATGATCCCAAACTTCTAAATCCAAAACCTATCTTTGTAACACCAATATTTCTGTGGGGATGTTATATGACTTTAAATCACAGAATAGCACAGGTATCTAAGCATTAAAGCTGTGAGTCATCCAAAGAACAAAGGAGAAACATGCAGTAGTTCTAAGCAGGCTGTAGCATATTATCAACAAAGAACTGAATACATGAAGTAGTATAAAAGAGATGAGAGATGCGGACTGGAACAGGAAGTGGGCAAATCATATATTATAAGAGATAAAAGTAGATAGCTTACACACTCTACCAGCAGTACCTACACAATAACCAGGAGATTTATGTCTCCAACATGTTTGATGACCACATCCTGGATAATGAAAAGTGGATTTAGAAGAGAACATAGACAAGAGTGACCAAAAAAGGTACGAATAGGTTGCAAAATGCAATTTTGGAGGAAGACCTAAATCAAGAAGATCATAGATCCATCAAATTTTCAAAAGAAGTAAATATTACTACTATAATGCCCACCACTATGCTAACAGAGATACATATGCATTACTTACACACACACACACACACACACACACACCCTTTGAATAAGACCCTATAAGATGGTGTTTTACCATGCTAAATCAAATACTTTTTTTACAGTCATCAAAGAAAAAGCACAGTAGAATCTTGTATTCTTTGTATCTTTTAGTGTATGAGTGAGTGTGTGTGTGTGTGTGTGTGTGTGTGTGTGTGTGTGTGTGAGTGAGAGACAGAGAGAGAGACAGAAAGACAGAGAGACAGAGATTAGTAGCATGGTCAAGTACACATACTGGTTAGCATGTCCTTCAGTTAATGGGCTAAATATTATCTTCTTACTTAAAACCACAATATTACTCAGCATAAATTCTTCTAATCAAGAGGTATGATAGCAATGAGACGAGATATTTGTTAGTACAATATCTAGTATATATTAGGTGTTGAATAAGAACTTATTCCCTTTCTTATTGTATAGAAGACAGTAACAGTCTAAAAGCAAGAAAGGCAGGTTAATAGAGAATCTTTCCACTTCATATGAAAAAACTTGTTTTAACTATTTAAAAGTTTAATGCTATGAGAACCATCTTAAATTCTGCTATTTATTAGGCAAAATAATATTTTCGATTTGGAAATCTGACACAGTAGGCACAAGCTAAACTAATTTCCTTATCTGACGTTACAACTTGTACCCAGATAAACAAATGAAACAACTCACAGAAAAAAGTAACCAAGCGTAGGAATTAGGAAATCTAAGGAATAGGAAGATGTAATCCTAAATTCCCCAGGATATGTCCTAAGAACATACAAATAATTACTTGTTGAACTGAATTGAAAAGAAGCAAGAAGAAACAGTAGAAACCTTTACCACTGTGTCATGACCTTGAACCTTGCATATAATAGACTTTAATAATGAGTGAATGAAATTACTTAAATGCATGAAAAGATTTGCCTGAGGTCACATAGTTACTGGCAGAAAGAGACTAGAATCTCAATTTGCTGACTTCCAATCCAAGGCTGCTTCCTGGCTTATCACTTGGTTAGAAAGAGACTGAAGGAGAAATGAATAGTTTTCAGGTATATAAAAGGATAACATATAGGCAGGTAATAGTGAACAGCATTTCTACCCTCAGGGGAAAAGAATAAATGGGCTTACATTACAAAAGGAAGAACATACTGGCTCCAAGAAGAGCAAAACACTGAACTATGGAATTTCTCAATCTCTCTTAAAAATTAGCCAACGGGAAAGAAAAAGAAGACACATGCATAGGTGCACATGGGATTTAAGTTCATCCAGGGCAGAGAGCACTTTTATTTTTGTTCTTGTAGCCCACGTACTTATCACAGAGCAGCTGACACACAGTGGGTGCTTAATTGACATCTGTTCACTGAGTGTAACAGTAACACGTTAGCCTCTCTTTTTCCATTACTCAATATCATTAACCTAAAAATAATGCATCAAATGAAGTACTTGTAGTCTTACCTGAGAAGCATAAAAACTGTAGCAGGCATCAAGAAAATTTCATTACATGCAATAAATTTCAGAATGTTCTGTTGATTAGCATTTAATTTTTCCAAAATAGATCTTAGTAGAGGCAAACTATTTGAACCCCTTGCCTAAAAAAAAAAAAAAGAAAAGAAAAAAAGACAAATTATAAACTATAAAATGTTATTCAATTTCCCAATTATTTTCTTAATTAGTTAGCAAAATGCCATATGCAGCAGCAAATACAATCAATCAAAAATCTGTATGGATTAATGCAAAGCAAAGAAAGTGGAACTAAGACAACAAAAGTCACAATTAATAATGCAAAGGAAAACATCCCTAAAAGACATCAGAATTCAGCTAAAATATAATGCCTAATCTTGTCTCCAGAGAACTGAAGATGAACTATACACTTCTGTGCTCTTAGGAGGGAGATGGTAAACTACAAGCACAGGCTGTTGGACATGATGTCATTTAAAGTTACATGTTGGCTTGTTTTGCTTAACTGTTCTGTTATAAACAAGGGGTGTATAAGAGGAACAGCTTACTGGGAAGTGACACGGTATAAAAAAATTATAAATCACCAACAAAAATTTAAAAATATACATATAAACAGATGCCAACTGTGTAGAAATAGAGGTATCTCATACTTGCAAATAATTTTAGTATAAATTAACAACAATTGGTAATGTCAGAAGGAGGCTTAATTCATATGTGTCTTTTACCCAAAACAATTTTATTTAGGTCTATAACCAACTATCCAATAATGCCCATAAACCTCAAAATAAATAATTTCAAAAAGAATTTGTGCTTTTAGGTTTTATTGTTTTAAGGACATTTTATATATTTTATAAGTTAACCAAAAAAAAGAGAACTTTCCAAAATGTTTTTCTCTTTTAATGTTTTAAATTAGATTTTCTGTTCTCCTCAGACGAAAGCAAGTTAATGCACAAAGCTGATCATTTCCCTTACCATATTAAGATTGATTGATGTTATACAGGTTAAAAATGTGACAATTTTGCTAGTTAAGTGTGTAAAAAAGAATGCCTCACATTTATATAGTAATTTAAAGTTTACAAAGCATCTTGCATAAGAGTCAATAGATAAATGGCCAGACTTCGGGTCAGAAAAAGGTTCAAATTCTGGCTCTGACATATATTATGTGGATAGGGACAAGTCATTTAACTTCCTCAGTGCTCCATGATAATACTCTATGACTCAATTTATAAATGGATTCAGAGTTCACTGGTGAAGGGAGTTTCCACATTGGGTATTCCTGACATCAACTAAATCACAGGACCAGATTTAAAATGACGAAAACCTTACATACAAGGAAATTACCCCGTCCAATTACCATGCTTTTTGCAGAATCACAGTGACCATAAGAATAGGAAAAAACCTCAGCACAATAAAGAAATCAGACATTTGTTCACTTTAGAGTACTTACACCCTAAAATAGTCAGGCATAAAAATGCCAGGTTTTTGTCATTCTCCACCAATAAGAAAAAAACAGAAGCAGGCCTAAACATCAATGTGCAAAGAACCTTGACCATCCAGCATATGAGAGCTGAAGGAGTAGAATTAGGGTTCAAAAAAACTAGGATTATGAAACAAAGATCATACAGTTTTGAAACAAACTGTCATTTTTCTCAACAATCACGAAAAAGCCAAAATTAAAGCCATTAAATTATCACCTAATTTAATAGTAGTGATAGATAAGAGTACAGAAATTTGCTTGCTACCCTAATTGTCAAGATGTCTTAGCATTCTTACACATAAAAAATTTAATCATAATGAGATTTTTAAAATTTATCAAGTGACATACTTACATCAAGAACCTTTTTTGTATATGTAGCAGCATGAAGTAAGGAGAATAACAAGACTGGAAAGATACTCACTGCAACAAGGAGTTAAGGAGAATATCTAAGATTCATCAAATACTTTAAAACAATTTATACTACAGCTAACTATATTCAAATGATCATCCCATCCAACGCCAAAGGAAAAAAATATAAACAAGCATAGAAATACAAACCTAGATAATCCAAAATTTGAGTACATTAGTATTGCTTAATCTTTTTTTTATAACTAAATTAAAATTAAACATCTGGCATCCATAAAAAGGAAAAGTTAAAGCCGCTATCTTCATTCTCTTAAGGTCATACTTATTTATATCAAAAGATTTATTGTACATATTGAACAAAGTTATCTCTGTCTCCAATTATCAATAAAATGATATATGCTTCTTTGGGTACCTTAAAAGACCTTTCTGTCCAAAGATGGTTTCAGTATAGGGTTCAGCTAGGTATCACAAGGGCAGCTAGGTGGCACAGTGGACAGAGTGCCAGGACTGGAATAAGGAAGACTCCTCTTCTCAAATTCAAATTTGACCTCAGACACTAGCTGTGTGACCCTGGGCAAATCACTTAACCCTGTTTGCCTCAGTTTCTTCATCTCTAAAATGAGTTAGAGAAGTAAAATGGCAAACCATTCCTGTAACTTTGCCAAGAAAACCCCAAATGGGGTCATGAAAAGTCAGGCACAACTGAAAATAACTGAACAACAACAACAACCCACTACAGACCCCAGGTTTCAAACCTAGCTGACCCCAAGAATGATTTGGCTAGGGGCAGCTAGGTGGTGCAATGGTTAGAGCACAGGCCTGGAGTCAGGAGGACCTGAGTTCAAATCCAGCCTCAGACACACAACACTTACCAGCTGTGTGACCCTGGTCAAGTCACTTAATCCCATTGCCTAGCCAAAAAAAAAAAGAAAAAAAAAAAAGAAAATGATCTGGCTAATCCAAACCACACAGAGACAAGTAGCCTAACGTGAACAAAAGCAAACAAAAATCACAAGAACTCCTTGTACGTTAGTCAGCTGTACTATGCAATTATCTGTTGCTGTGGTTCAGCCACGTCCAACTCTCTGTGACCCCACTTTGGGGTTTGCTTGGCAGAGATACCAGGGTGGTTTGCCATTTCCCTCTCCAGCTCATTTTAGATATAGGGAAACTGAGGCAAACAGGGTGAAGTGACTTGCCCAGGGTCTCACAGCTGTAAATGTCTGGGGCTGGATTTGAACTGAGGAAAATGAGTCTTCCTGAATCCAGGCCTGGCACTTGATTATCAACTGTGCCACCAAGCTATCCAGATATGTCACTGGGGTTTCTCTGTGCCAGGGGAGGAGATGAAATAGGACAAGGGCCTAAGGATGAACCTTCCTTGGAACAAGTCAGCTGACAGGAGAGGGAGGCAGAGCCAAGAAGCCCCAAGTAATACCACAGATATCTAACTCTTCAGAACCCCAGGAGGAATGAACCCCAGCTTGAATGTTCAAAAGTTCTAAGACATGAGGTGTAATACTGAAGCTCATAAATTCATACATTCACATTTTACTATCATAAGATTATGAGAAATATTAGGTGAAATGAATGCTCATTGATTAGGTACCATGGTAACCCAGCGTTCAGGATTTGCTGAGCCCTGTCACACAGAATAATGCTAAAGTTCAAGGTAAAAACCACAGATAAGGATACTTGTAACTGGGTAAGAGTTGACAAAGATGAGAGAATACAAAAGGTAGTGGCAGCTGTCTTCCAACAAAGCCTGGGCCAGGAAAGCCCTGCTTAACTGGAAGTGTGGTAATCTTTGGTGTAGCCGCAGAGCACTGGTGAGAGCATTGGCCAGCAAGGCACGCTGATAAAAGCTGGCGGCTTCATGCAACCTGCAAATTACCGGAGGAAAATATCATACAACACAAACAACCACTGCAAATCTTCCTCAGTGGGGAATTGCATCATAATTGCACAACACTCAAATTCAAGGCTTACCACTGATGGATGAGATTACTCTATACATATTCTTCAGGTATTATTAAAAGCAGTATCATTCCATATAAATGCCCATCAGCAGCTACCAGGTTTTATAAAGAAAAGAGTCATTCTACCCATTAAATAAAACTAAAAGTTTTAATAGTCCAAACTCATTATCTGGCTCCACCAAACCATTTTTGCTAAAAATTTTGTATAACATTAGTTTTCACAAATATTAAAGAACAAAATGTTCCTCAATTTTAAAAAAATAACCAGCTTTTAAACTCCTGGGAAGCAAGGATTGATTTATTTATCCTTGTATCTCCAAGGATACCTAGAAATTCTTTACAAATAGTTGGTTTCAATAAACAGTTATCGAATTCATGATCTAAATAAACATGCAAAACAAACAGGCACAATACATACCCAAGAAGAGGAAGAACAAATAAAGCAGAACAGTAAACTGTGAACAATCGAGAAAGCCACATTGCTGTGTCCAGCTTATTGGTCATCATAAATTGCTATATTTAAAGAGAAAAAAAATTAAGAAAACTTTTAGTAAATGAAACCTGAAAATTCTGTTCTGTTAGGATGAAGTGGTATTTTTCCTAAACAAAATAATTTAAAGTTAGCCTTTAAATTTTCCTTCAGAACACCAGTTAAAATCTGACAAGGAGTCTTTCAATTTTAAAAAACAAATATTACACTCAATAAGTTTGTATGAGTGTATCAGGATGAGATAAATTTTACATTACAATGATTCTCAGATATTACTAGTAAAGATGGCCTTTATGCTATTATTGCAAGAAAATCAAGAAATGTATCAAAATACAAAAAATGAAAACTATACCTAAACAGAGAAAACTTATTAGATAAGAAATAATAACACTGGCAAGCAATAGATTACAATTTTTAACAAAGATCAAAAGTCCTCCTCTATAATACATGTAATATTCATGTTTTAAATTTTTTAAAGAATAGATTATACTCAGAAAAACTATACAAATTGTGAAAGATTTTGAAAACAACATATGGAAGACATCAGCACCAGGTACACTTTGGGTCAAACAAATCTTACAAAGGCCTATTTCTGCAAACCAAAAGAGTTCAACAAATAGACATTAGCATTTCCAGGACTCTCCATAGTAATCAAAAGTACCTTTCTCAGCTCTTTAACACTAAGTTTCTCATCCTCTTCTTATAAAATTTTGTAAAAAGGATGGACACTCTCCAGGCTTCAACCTGTCATTCTCCATTTCCTTGGCCATCTCCTGCTTAACTAAAAACAAATCAAACTTCCTTTCTTTCTTTTGTGGCTTTCCATACTTTTGTATCCACCGTTACAAATGTTAGCCTTGTTTAACTAGCCAACTTCTTTCTTCCCTCATTCAAAAATCCACCTTAAATCTGACGTTCATTTTTTGGCACCTCATAAGTGAATTTAAATTTTCATCCCAACCCATCAGCACACATTATACTTCCACTTCACATCACTTTTTCAGTTTCTAATAAAAGAAAAATGAGAGATAGATTAAGGGAAAATAATAATCACACAGTGCTTTAAAAGTTGCAAAGCAATTTACATATATTCTCTCATCTGATCCTTACAACAATCCTGTAAGAATAATAGCTAACATTTCTATAGTGTTTACTATGTGCCAGGCACTGCACAAAACTCTTTACAAATATTTCATTTGATCCTTACAACAAGCCTGGGAGGTAGGTGCTATTATCATCCCCATTATAGAGATGAAGAAACTGAAGCAAACAGAGATTAAGTGACTTGTCCAGGGTGATACAGTGAGTATCGGAGGTTGGATATGAAGCCAGATCTTCCTAACTCCAAACCCAGCTCTCTATCCATGGTACCATCTAGCTGCCCCCAGAAACGTACTATTATTACTCATTTTACTGATTAGGAAACAGAGACTCATAAAGGTTAAGTTATTTCCCTAAGGTCACATAGCTACTGTCTGAAGTAAAATTCAAACTCAAATCTTCCTGACTCCATGGTTTCTATCCACTTTGCCACCCAGTCGTCTCTAAAAGGCACACAAAACACTAATTGTGATTTTACAGACTCCATTTCTCTAAGTATTTTATTTAATATTCTCCAGGGTAGTGATAATTTAATTTGCAACAACTTTTTTTCAAGTTACTGGTTTACACTTGTTTAGCTTATTTGAAAAGAGTTCCCTCAAAACAATTTGGTACTGATTAAAAAAATAGATCAATCAGTGCAACAGATTAGTTACACAAGATACAGAATCAAAGGAATCGAGTAAGTTAGTGCTCAACAAACACAAAGTATCCATCCCAGCTACTTGAATAAGGATTCACTTATTTAACAAAAAACTGCTGGGAAAACTGGGTGCCAGTGTGGAAGAAATTAGATTTAGACCAACAGTTTATAACTTATATCAATAAAAACTCCAAAAAGATTTATGACAGACATAAAAGGTCACATCATAAACAAATTAGAGAAAAGTGGAAAAAATTACCTATCAGACCTATTGATAAAAGTCTATGACCAAATAAGAAATTAAGAGGATCACAGAAGATAAAATGGGTAATTTTAATTACATAAAATTTAAAAGTTTTTGCACAAACACATCCAATAAAGCTAAGATCAAAAGAGTATTAACTGAAAAAAAATCTTTGCAGCAAGTTTCTCTGACACAGGTCTCATTTCCAAGATCTATAAGTAACTGATTGAAATTTATAAGACTAAAAGCCACTCCTCAATTGAGAAATTGTCTAAAGATATGAACAAGCAGTTCTCAAGGAAAGAAAGCCAGGCTATTTATAGACATACGAAGAAAATGCTCTATATCACTAATAATTTAAGAAATACAAATTAAAGCAATTTTGAGATCTCTTCTCACACCTATCAGATGGGCAAAGCTGACAAAAAAGAAAATGACATATGATGGAGGGGCTGTGGGAAAGCAGGCACGCTAACACACTGTTGGTGTAGCTGTAAACAGGTCCAACTATCCTGGAAATCAAGTGAATAGTACCACAACAATGTATACCATCAGTATTATAAGAACTAACAATTTTGAAGATTTGTATAAACTGATGAAGAATGAATTAGGGGAAATATAACAATTTATACAATAACAGCAACATTATAAAACAAAAAACTTTGATAGCTATAATGAAACGACCATCCAGTATTCCAGAGTACCAATGATAAAATATGCTATCTACCTCCTGACAGAGATATCATTTGATTCAAAGTGCAGAAGCAGATATATTTTTTTGAAAATGGTCAATGTGGTAATTTGTCCTGACTATGCATATTTATTACAAAGGATTGCTTTTTTCTTTTTTCCCCAACGGAGTAGGGAGACTAGAAGGATATAAAATACATTTGTTAATTAGAGTAGTAAAATTAAATAGTGAGAATTAGTAGTTAAGAGCTTAATTTAAGTTTTAATAGCTTAAAACTTCAATAAGACTTTTGAAAAACTCTGTATTTATATTGAAGATAAGGGCTGAGGGTCAAACAGGAGGCCCCAGTCCCTAATTAAGTTCACTGACACTCTAGAGTACAGCCTGAACAGAGATTAAAATATAATTCCTGCTTGATTTCAATGTGCAATAAAAAATATACATATATAAACAAGTATGGTTTTTTAAGTCACCATGACCCCACAAGAACCTTTATGTATGGTTTAGTGACCCTTGTTTCTTTTGAGCTTGACATCCCTGTTCTAAGTGATTCTTATACATCATTATCTTGAACAGTTGATGACTTACAGAAGTAGGATGGGAGAAATGTAAGACACTGCCCTAAGGCATTAATATAAGTTCCTCTTAACATAGTTAAACTCTTCCCCTTTGAAACAGATAGTATTTCAAACTGCAGGTGTTTTGTTCTATTCAGAGGAATAAGCTCATATGACATAATCTTCACAGCCCTTGAATTGTTGACTATCAAAGGCAACAACGAAGAAGACATCACTCACATCCAACGTTTTCAGGGAGAAGGAAAGCAGGAAGGCACCATTACCAATGGAATTTTTTTAAAAAGGTGAGTCATGTGCTGCTACTGAAGGTGGTATAGTATAGTTTAGTCCTGCCCCATCCTCAACTCCATTGACCTCTGTCCATAGGGTTTTCTTGGCAAAGACACTGAAGTGGTTTGCCATTTCCTTCTCCTGTGACTTGACCTAGGTCAAACAGCTAGGAAGTTTCTGACGCTGGATTTGAACTCTGATCTTCCTGACTCTAAGCCCATCTCTCTATCCATTGTCAGACCTACCTCCAAGCACTCAACCTCTCTACAGGTAAAGTGAGAGATTGAACCAGATAAGAAAGATCCCTTTCAGTCCTAAACCTAGGATCTAAGTTTTGGGCCATGAAGATCATTTACAATCTAAACCCCTCTTTTCAATGAAGCTAACTCCCCCCCCAAAAAAGAACTTCAAGTTCACACGAAGTTCAGAGGCAGGATTCCAACCCAGGTTAGAATCTCTTACCCTAAACCCTGTGGTCTTTCCACCAGGTTCTCCCCTCCTCCTACCCTCTTGTTTCTCTTCTCCTGCCCAGTTCCTCCTCCTCTTCTTGGCCTATTTCTGCTCTTTCCCCTCCTCCTCCTCCTCCTCCTCCTCTCTTCTTCCTGCCCCGCTTTTCCTCCTCTTCCTCCTCTCTTCCTTGTGCCCTGCTCCTCCTCTTCTTCCTCCCCTCCTCGTCCTCTCTGTCCCTCTTCCTCCAATCCTCCACGGGAATCCAGGGCAAGACCATTCCCGAAGCAGCAGCAGCTAGCTCAGTGACCACCACCTGTAGCCCTCCATCAGCAATGACAGCCCCGAAATCCCCACACTTCCGGGGTACGCCTGCAGGGCCTCCCTCCCCGGGACGTCCTCCTGCACACTAGAAGGCCCCGCCCCCCGCACCCCGAGCACTTACCACGGCGCCCGCCCCTTGGGGGCCGTTCGGGGCTGGATCCGCCATAAGGGAGAAGCAGACGAGAGGGACACCCTGCGGCGTAAGAGAGAAGAGCGATGGGGCGGGAGACAGCGCTAGGCCCGCTCCTTCCGATCAGCCCCCTCCACCCCCCTCCCGCGGCTGCCCCCGCGCCCCCTCCCCCCCAGCGGCTGCCCCGCCCCCTCGGGCGCCCCCCACGCCCCCGCAGTCCAGGGGGACCCTGGCCGAAGGGTCTCCCAAGAGCCCAGGCCCGGGCGGAAGTACCTGCTCCGCGCCCACTGTCAGGTTCGTGCGGACCGCGGGATGCGGCGCGGCGAAGGCGGCTCCGAGCGCCCAGGGAGGCCCGCTTTCCGCTCCGGCCAGCCGGCAGCACCTCCAACCTCCTCAGCCGCAGAACCCCCGGGGACCCGGAAGTGATTCCGCTATTCACTTCCGGGGATGGGTTTCGGGGCCGGCGATCCCGGAGGCACGACCGGAAGCGTAGTAGCGTAGTTTGCGCTTTGGACCCGCTGCTGGGGAACTCCCGGGGGAGGGTGAAGTTTAAGCTTAAATTCTGGGGCGCGGGCGGGATTTGCCTACCTCGACAAACTGATTCCGTCCCGGAAACGGATCTTAGGCTCAAACATCTAGAGCCGGTAGAGGTCGTTTTACAGATAAGGAAATGGAAGCCGAGAGGCGGAGGGAGTTACCTACGGTACACAATTGGCATTGAACCCAGGTCCTCCGATTCTAAATCCTTCGCTTTTCCCCGCACTGTTCCCTACTGCTTCCCTCAACAATCCTTTCCTACCTTGAACCAAGTTACGGCAGACCTGCCCTGGCCCCCAGCGCGAGGTGTGGGAAGGCAGCTCCTGCCAGAGAAATGGCAATGCCCACGGTCGGGGCGTTTGCCTAAGGGTAATAGACCAGTTTCATAATCTGCCCATTTTCCCTTTGCCCTCCGACCTGATCCCAGAAATCTTAAGATAGAAGAATAAAATTTAAGTGCTGGTGGGGTCCTTGAAGGTCATGTAGGCAAGTTCTTTGTTTCACAGATGTGAAGACTGAGGCCAGGAGAGCCTCAGAGATTTACCCACGGTCATACAGGTAATAAGTACCAGAGTTGGGACTCAAGGCCAGATCCTCTGACTCCAACACGTTTCTGGGAGGCACTGCAGATGCTTGAACCGGGCATCAGAACTCTATATTGATCCTGGCCCTCAGAACCAGCTGTGATGGGTTATTTCCCCATTTGTAACATAAGGAAGGATGACTTTTAAGTTTCTCTTATAATTCTAAAATATCTGACAAAACATCTGTAGCAAAGCTGATGATGAGCTCTCTTGTGTGTGCCAGGGTTATGGGTTCTTGCCAACCTCATTTGCTGGCCATCCTTTTTTTTCTCTGCTTCACTTGCTTACTCAGGATCATAAGAATGGAAGGAAGCACTGGGATTCTCATTCTATAGATGAGGAAACTAAGTCCCA